CTCACTGTTGTGGCCTCTCCCGTTGCGGAGCACAGGCTCCGGACGCGCAGGCCCAGCGGCCACGGCTCACAGGCCCAGCCGCTCCTCGGCATGTGGGATCTTCCCGGACTGGGGCATGAATCCGTGTCCCCTGCATCTGCAGGCGGACTCTCAACCACTGCGCCACCAGGGAAGCCCCAAAATATATTTAAGACATGTTGCATTGAAAATTCTTGTACCTGCCCTTCTGAGTACTTATGCAAGTGTTTTTCTGAGCTATATTAGGAAGTGGAATTGCTTAATTGAAAAGTATCTACATTTTTCATATTTTAATAGATATTACAAAAATTGCAATTGTCTGAAGGGGCTGTATTCATTTACACTTGGACAGAATTCCCCATGTAAAACAGTGTTTTATCTTTTTGCTGTGGTTTTGAAATTTCAGCACAATGTGTCCAGGTGGATCTTTTTTCCATTCACCTCACTAGATGCTCAGTGGGTCCCTTTCATTCTCTATGAATTTTGTTTGCTATAGTTTGAGTATCTCATCCCTTCTATTTTTTCATTCCTTTCTTTGGGAACTGTTAGAAGTTGAAAATCTTGGATCTAGTCTGTATATTGTTTAATTTTTTTTTTTTTTCAAGTTTTGCATTCTTACATGCTGCTTGGTGGGAAAATTCCATGGCTTAATCTCACCCACGGTTTTTTTTTTTCAGCTGTGTCCCTCCTGCCCTTCAGCCAGCTGAGTTTCTTATTTGCACCATAATAACTTCCACCGTCTAGGTTTCTTTTTGGTTCATTTTCATAACAACTTGTTCTTTCTTTATGAGTATGATTTCCTGTTTTGACTCCTGAGGAGAAAATAGACCTGTTTTTATTAAAGAGTCCTTTCTTTTAAAGTTTCCTTTTCTTTGCTCTATTAACTGTTTCTTCGTTTGTTATTTTTTCTCTTGGCTGGGTTTGGTGCTGTTTGGTGATGTTTGATGAGGGCAAAGAAGTACATAAAGCAGTTTAGAAAGACTTCCAGCAAAAATAAGGAAAACGCCTAAATGAAAATATTTTTTGCTACCTTACTCCCTGATAATGTTGGATAAGTTAGGCTTTTTATGTGTATAGATGGATCAGATGTAGAGATTTCTTATCCATATGGATATATCTATAATAGAGCCTTGTTCAAACTAATCAGTTTTTTGTTTACTAAATATTGATTATTTAGTGCTTCCCATGTGCTAGGTATTGTACAAGGTGCTAGATGTTATTAAGTACTTATATTAAAATTCATTGATCTAGCGTAATTGTGAGAAATCAGTGGGGATATATTTGAATGAAATAGTATAATTTAATGAAATGATTAGATTTTAAGAACATAATTTGAAAATATTGCCAAGATGAAATCAGAAACAACAAACTGCTGCTCAGCTTAAAAGTAGTTCTGTCCGGCTTCCCTGGTGGCGCAGTGGTTGAGAGTCCGCCTGCCGAGGCAGGGGACGCGGGTTCGTGCCCCGGTCCGGGAAGATCCCACGTGCCGCGGAGCGGCTGGGCCCGTGAGCCATGGCCGCTGAGCCTGCGCGTCCGGAGACTGTGCTCCGCAACGGGAGAGGCCACAACAGTGAGAGGCCCGAGTACCGCAAAAAAAAAAAAAAAAGTACTTGGGTCTTCTAAACTCTCAGAAGTTGGTAATGGGTGTATCTTCAACTGTAATTATCCTAGTACAGATCACTTCAAATGTTTAAAGAACTCCAAAGTAGACTGATATTTTGCTTATTTTCTTAAGGGCTCTTAATATCTTTATGAAACAGTGCTAGGTGGGCTGATTCCTTTAACAAATTGATTTCTTCATTATGCTGTGACAGAGGCACATTAAGTAGTTATTTGTTTGGACCGCACGTATTTGGAATTCAACAGGTGCCTTGAATTCAGATTCGATGAATGTCATCCTTGCCCTGTGAAATTACATGTAACTGGGATTCATGAGAGTACTTCCTGTTGACTTCATAAAAACATCTTTGCTGCCACATAGATATGAGCTGATTACTGATTAACCCTACTTTTTTCTTAAAATAAGTCTATGAGAGTCATGCCTTGATAATAATTTTTTTTATTCCTAGGTAGGCGTTTCTTCATCTTCTAAAGAGGAAATTTACTTTGAACTTTTTGTCTTTTTGGAAAACTTTGAAGTGACCAGATGACATTTTTGAGTCTGTTGGAATGTTCATTTTTATCAATTACTGGGTATTGGTGTGAATAGCCTTGTGGAGACATGGCAGTAATCCCCAACCTCTCCTCTGTCACAGATCCCGGATTACAGAAATGCAGTGATCGTGGCCAAGTCTCCAGCCTCGGCTAAGAGGTAGGTGGGAGCTCCTCCAAGCCACACCCGGGGTCCCAGCCCTGTCGAATCCCAGGTGCTCTGGATTCTATCTCAGCGGTTCCCACTGTGTCTCTTATTTTTTATCCTGTGAACTGATAGTTTAATACTCCATGTACTAAGTGATGATTTATTTTCCTCCCTTTTTTCCAGTCCCAGTCTGTGACTACCATCACATTTCTTACCAGAAACTGTCCAGGGCTGGGGAATCCCAGCCCAGTGCTTAGGCAGCTGCTTGTTGTTCATCTTCAGATGTGCCATTTAAAATACCAGGGAATGTATTTTGAGGCTGTTTACTGCCTTTTTTTCAGAGAACTCAGTAATTTATTAACAGAATTGTATCCACAAGCCAAGAGGCTGGATTGGTATGTGTTAAAAGGTGACATTTTACAAAATTTACAAACACTACAAGGTGTGCAAATGGGGAAGTGCTGAGAGTTACATGTAACCTGGAGTAACTGATGAGTCAGGGATACAGAACCTAAAGTTGTGTTTGAATTGAAAGGGTTTCACACACAGACATGCCTTGGAGATCGTGTGTTGGGTTCCACACCTCTGCCAAAGCCAATATCACAGTAAAGTGAGTCACATGGATTTTTGGTTTCCCACCGCATATAAAAGTTATGTTTACGCTATACTGTAGTCTGTTAAGTGTGCAATAGCGTTCTGTATTAAAAAACATTGTACGTAGCTTAATTTAAAGATACTTTATTGCTAAAAAATGCTAACCATCATCTGAGCCTTCAGCAAGTTGTAATCTTTTTGCATCAAAGATCAGTGATCACAGATCACCATAAAAAATATAATAATAATGAAAAAGTTTGAAGTACTTTGAGAATTACCGAAACGTGACACAGACGTGAAGTGAGCAGATGCTGTTGGAAAAAATAGCGCCGATAGACTTGCTGGACGGAGGGCTGCCCCAGACCTTCAGCTTGTAACAAGTGCAGTGTCTGCAAGGTGCAGTAAATCGAGGTCTGCCTGTACTAATGTTCCCTGGAGAAGCCGCTCCACTGGGGAGGGAAAGAACAAAATCAAACGTAGGAATGAAGGCTTTTTCTTAAAAAAGCTCTTTTAAAATAACTTCCCACAGTCGAATACCTTTGCTCCCTGGATCATTGTTGAGCCTATGGAGTGAGAGAGCGGAGGTGCCTCCATCCTGTACCCACCGTTGTTAATGTGGCAGGATGAAGGACAGACTTCACAGGTGTCACGATAAGTGGTTTTCCATTACAAAGTAAGAATAGCAGTTAGTATATTAAAAGAAGTTGGCATTTGTGATGAAGCCATGGAGTTGCCATGTTCGTGGGACCAACCACCCAGTCAGCCAGGGCTGTGCCCACACAGGCTTCCTTTGAGAAGCTCTGTCATGGAGCCTCATAGTGTCCATTTGATTAAGTCAGGTAAACCGGGACTCATGCTGGAACATAAACATTTCAAACAGCCTTTCCAGAGATTTGTGCAAAGGCTGGATTAATGCTGATTTAGTAATTTCTTTTTCTCTTGATATACGTGCTTTTTTAAATTAAGTTGAAAATCACATAACATATATTTAACTTTTTTAAAGTGTGTTATTCACTGGCATGTAGTGCATTCACAGTGTTGTACAACCACCACTTCTCTCTGGTTTCAGAACTTGCTCTTATCCCAGAAGACCACCCCGTACTCACTGAGTGACCAGTCTCAGGTCCCTTCTCCCCCATTCCCTTGCAGCTGCTGATCTGCTTACTGTCTCTGTAGATTTACCTATTCTAGATATTTCATATAAATGGAATCATATAATATGTGGCCTTTTGTGTCTGGTTTCTGTCACTGAGCGTAATGTTTTCAGGTTCATCTACATTGTAGCATATATCAGTAATTCATTCCTTTTTATGGCTGAATACTATTCCATTGTAGGGATGTACTACACTTTGTTTATCCATTCATCCGTTGATGGGCATTTGGGTTGTTCCCACCTTTGGGCTGTTAGGAATAGCAGTGCTGTGAACATTTGTGTACAAGTATCTGTGTTGGCACGTTTTCATTTCTCGTGGCTATATATCTAGGATTGAAATTGCTGGGTCATATAGTAATTGTATGTTTCCATTTTTGAGGGACCACTAAACTTAACATACCCTAAACTGAACTGCTCTTTGCCCCCAAAAGCCTGTGGGGTTTGGCTGGAGTAGCGCAGTTTTTGTCTTAAAGTTTCCTGGCTTGTGAGGCTGCCCCTTTCTTGGTCTGGCTTTTGTTTGGGCACAGCTGTGAGCCTGGGGTAATGAGGCAGAAAGACAGACGGGAGGACCCACCACTGCCTGTTCCCTCTCACAGGTGAGGAGACACATCAGGGAGGTGAGGAAACGGATCCAAGGTGATTCTGCTGTGTTGTTTACAGGAAGGTAGCAGCACAACTAATGACTTCTTTTTTTAAATTTATTTATTTTTTATTTTTATTTTTGGCTGTGTTGGGTCTTTGTTGCTGTGCGCGGACTTTCTCTGGTTGCGGCGAGCGGGGGCTACTCTTTGTTATGGTGCACGGGCTTCTCATTGCAGTGGCTTCTCTTGTGGCGGAGCGCAGTCTCTAGGCGCGAGGGCTCAGTAGTTGTGGCTCGTGGGCTCTAGAGCGCAGGCTCAGTAGCTGTGGTGTCCCCACAGCAACATTTGTTGCTCCGCGGAATGTGGGATCTTCCCAAACCAGGGCTCGAACCCGTGTCCCCTGCACTGGCAGGCAGATTCTTAACCACTGCGCCACCAGGGAAGTCCCAGCTAATGACTTCTTAGAGTGTCTTCCCCACCAGTGATTCTGGGATTTGGGCGTGGGCCGAATAGGCTTGAGGTTGGCTTGCCCATTCAGTCCGTCTCGCTCGGTACGTGTGTGCTGTGCCAGCTGTTTTCTAAGCGGGGAGCAGTACAGCCCGCTCCTCCCCTCTGGGGCTCGCAGATCACCCCGTGTGCTGTTTGGCCAGTAGGTTGTCAGGTAGGTTGGGATGAAGGATCCAGCCTCTTTTTACCGCCTTCTGTAATGGAGTCCACATAGGTTACACTGCATTCAATAAATGTTTTAGGATGGAGATGGTTGCTCCAAAGGGGATGAGGGTATAAAATAGTGTAGTTATGGCTTTTGCACTCCGCATCGAAGGTGTGCTGAGCACTCTTGGTCGGTAGCACCTGCCGTGGCATCTCCCACAGCGCTGTGCTGTGATTTCCTCTCATTTTGACATCCTGATTTGCATACTCATCCAGAGTTAGGGCTTGAGATGGCATTTCCAGCTCAGCAACACGCCGGTTTTGATCTGATTGTTTCCGGCTTCCTCCTCCACGTTTTTTATTTGGCGCCTCACCTTAGAAAACTGTTACAGTTCATTTAAGAGACACCCTAAGGCAGCAGGAAGATAGTTAAAACTAGGAGTCAAGAGACACCGGCTTCCAGCTGGTGCCTACCCAGTCTCTGTGAGAGAGCTGAGAAGCACGGTCCAAGCTCTCTGCAGGCCCCCGTTTCCTCGTCGGCAGAGTGGGGGGTGACGCCTGCACTGCTTATCTTACGGAGCGGCGTGCGCCGAAGAAGGCGGGAGAGACTTCACAGATTGAGCAGCACGGCGTGCCCTGCAGTTCTGCAGTTGTCGGTGGAGTCGAGGGCAGAGCTGTGGTTGTGCAGCCCTTTGGCAGTGAGCTGTTGTCTTGAGTAAAAGAGGTCATCTGAGAACATAATGTTGCTTTGACAAACAGAACTTGCTTTAGTGAGCAAGTTGTTTGGAATTGTTTTCCTAGAATAATTGAGTGAATAGAAAAAGAAAAGTCTGAGATCCTGTGTTTTGTTCTGACCCATGATGTACATTTACCCTCATCATTGTACAACCAGAAGCAAGACTGAGTTGCTTTGGAATTCCTCTGTGACCGTCAGTGTCTAAAGCAGTATGACCTACCGGAACCATCCTGATTCCTTTTTTGGAATCAGGTGGGAACCCAAGTTACGTTACTGTTATGTGAAGTATCAGAAACTAACATCATTGTGCAGGTAATGCTTTTATTCATCTTGAAAGTATTGCGGTTTATAGTTAGTAGTGTTATAGTAGGTTAGTAGTGTTGAAACAGCATTACTCTAGGAATTGGCAAACCTCTACGAATTCCCGATGGGAAAAGACTTCCTTAGAGGATAACTGAGAGCTCAGGACTTTTGACAGTAATCTTGTTTGTGAAGCCAATCTTGGATTTGAAGGAGCACTTAATCTCTGTGCTGCTGTGAAGTTAGCGTGGGGCAGAAGCCAATGAAGGCTCTGCCGTGGTCTTTGTCTGAACATATCTTTTTCTGAGGACTTCTTTAAAAACTGTTTTGAATTTTTTTAAAGTTATGCAAATACTACGTCTTAACTGTTAGGATCCTCAGCAATTTTTATTAAAAATATTCTCCCCCTGAGACTCTCCCTCTTTTCCTTAAGTAAAAATATTCACACACACGCAAAGATACACTTTTCTGGATCAGGTTATGCAGTACAGCTCTGCTCCTGTGAAGTCTGTTGTCTTTTCCTTGGAAATATAAATTAGATTCATTGTAGGAAGGGCCAGACCAGTAGACGTTTCTTTATGTGCATTTGAGATTTTTTCAAAACCACAGAAGACTTAACTGCATGTGCTGCGTAATGACATCTTCTTCTGAGGGAGGAAAGTGTAACTTCGTAAGAAAGTAATTTGCAATGGATGTAGCATCCATTTAAATTTCTTGAACTGATTGCAAGCACTGCGACAAAACTCTCCTTGGTCATGGAGTGCAGACGGGAAACCTGGCACAGGGGAGATTCTGTTCCGCCAGGGAGCACAGTCGTGCCTTTAAGTGCCTCCCTGTGGCATTGCAATGCCTTGGCTGTGTCTAGTGCAGGTAGTCCTGATGATGGGGTTCTGTTAAATCCCTAATTTATGACCACAGCCCTTGTTTTTGTTTCTTTTTAGCTCTCCTTGTGGGCTGTAAGGAACTTGTTTTGAATTTTTGATGTTTGAAAACCAAGGTTGGGAGAACTTGTTGGATCTTCAAGCACTTGAACATTTTTTTGTGCACTAGGTGCTGAAGATGGAAAAAGGAGTAAGACGTCAGTGGTGAATTCTGCCGAGCATTTACGGGGGAAACAATGCTAACTGTGCATAAACTCTAACAGGAAGCTGAAGAACTAGGACTTCCCAGCTCACTGTATGAGGCATCATTACCCTGATAGCAAAGCCAGACACAGACATTCCAAGAAAAGAAAGACAGATCAGTATTCCTTATGAACCTGGGTATAAAAATTCTAGGGCTTCCCTGGTGGCGCAGTGGCTGAGAGTCTGCCTGCCGATGCAGGGGACGCGGGTTCGTGCCCCGGTCCGGGAAGATCCCACATGCCGCGGAGCGGCTGGGCCCGTGAGCCATGGCCGCTGAGCCTGCGCGTCCGGAGCCTGTGCTCCGCGACGGGAGAGGCCACGACAGTGAGAGGCCCGCGTACCGCAAACAAAAAAAAAAATTCTAAGCAACATTGTAGCAAATTTAATCTAACAATATATAAAAAGGATGATACATCCATGACCATTTAGGAATAAACTAAAAAAGAAAAACCGTATGATTATCTCCGTAGGTGCAAAAAGCATTTGATAAAATTCAATTTCTCTTCCTGATAATAACTTTAAGCAGCCTAGGAATAGAAGGGAACTTCCTAATCTGGTAAATGGTGTCTGTGAAACACCTACAGCTACCATCACACTTACTGTGGAAGACTGACTGCTCTCCCCTAAGGTCAGGAGCAAGGGGAGCATGTCTGCCTCCCTGCTGCTACTCAGCATTGCACTGGGGCTTCCGGCTCGTGCGATTAAAAACAGAGACAGACAGAGAGGAAGAGGAATCCGGTGTGAAAAAGAAGCAGCAGAACGCTCCTAATTTGCAAGTGGCATGATTATTTATGTAGCAAAATCTGATGAAATCTATAAAGATGCTGTTAGTACTAAGAAGTCAGTTTAGCAGAGTTGCAGGATATAAGATCACTGTCCAAAATCCGTTGTCTTTCTGTATACTAGCAATGAACAATTGGAAACTGAAATGAAAAATAAGACCAAATAGCATCAAACTAAGTGAAACACTTAGGGGTAAACCTAAGGTGTTCAAGACTTGCACACTGAAAAATATAAAACATTGCCTCGAGAAATTAAAGACCTAAATGAATGGAGAAATATACTGTGTCTGTGGCTTGAAAGACTCAATATTGTTAAGATAGCGTATCTCCTCCCTACATTGGTCTGTAGAATTGACACCATCCCGATCAGAATGTCAGCAGGCTTTTTTTAATTGAATTTGACAAGCTGATTCCAAAATTCATATGGACATGCAACAAAACTAGAATAATGCCACCCCCCCCGGGGGGGGGACTTTGAAAGAGGAGAACAAAGTTCGGAGATCTAACACTACCTGGATTCAAGACCTATTATAAAGCTAAAGCAATCGCGATTGTGTGGTATTGGAATAAAGATAGAAAAATAGGTCAGTGGAACAGAATAGAGTCCAAAAATAGACCCACAGGTATCTGGAAGACTGATTTTCAGCAGATGTGCAAAGGCAATTTGATGGGGAAAGGCTAGCCTTTTTAACAAATGAAAAATGTTGGAATAATCGGATGTTTGTGTGCAAAATAATGAATTTTGAGCCATATCTCACATCATTTTAAAAAATCAACTTCAAATGAATCATATACCTAAATGTAAAGCCTGAAAGTATAAAACTTCTAGAGGAAAACAGAGGGAAAAAAATCTTTGTGACCTTGGTTTTAGGTAAAGATTTCTTAAATATGACACTAAAAGCCCAACTGATAGGAAAAAATTGTTAAATTGAATGTCATGAAAATTAAAACTGCTCTTCAGAAGACATCATTAAGAGAATAACAGGAGAAAGCACAGATTGGGAGAGAATATTTGTGAAGCATATGTCTGATGAAGGACTTAAATTCAGAATATATAAAGAATTCTGCAGACTTACTAAGAGAACTAACAACCCAACTAAAAAATTGGCAAAAGAGAAACAGACCCTTTACCAAAGCATATATATAGGTGGCAGATAAGCGCCATTTGTCATGAGGGTTCAATGCAAACTGAAACCACAGCGACCTACTGTATACCGCTGGGATGGGTACATTGAAAGGTTGACAGCGGCCCGTGCTGGCGAGGGCGTGGAAAAGCCGAGTGCTCACACACGGCTTGTGGGCGTGTGACAGCCACTTTGGGAAACAGTAACGTGTGATCCAGTCACACCAAGCGAAAAGGAAACATGAGTCCAGACGGATTTGTACATGAGTGTTCACATGGTTTTGTAACAACTCATGACTGGACACAACTCAAAAGTCTATCCAGGGACTTCCCTGGTGACGCAGTGGTTAAGAATCCGCCTGCCAATGCAGGGGACACAGATTCGAGCCCCGGTCAGGGAACTAAGATCCCACATGCCGTGGGGCAACTAAGCCCATGTGCTACAACTGCTGAGCTCGATGAGAGAGCCCACGTGCCGCAAACTACAGAGCTCACGCCCTCTGGAGCCCGCGCACCACAACTAGAGAAAGAAAACCCACACGCCACTACTAGAGAGAAGCCCATGCCCTGCAAAGAAAGATCCCGCATGCCTCAGTGAAGATCCCCCATTCCGCAACTAAGACCCGATGCAGCCAAAAAATAAATGAAATAAATAAGTAAACAATAAATCTTAACCAAAAAAAGTCCATCCACAAGTAAATGGACAAATAGTGATAGACCCACACCATGGACTGTTACTCAGCGATGTAACAGTCTTGATGAATGTGTGATGTGGGTGAATCTCCAAACTGTTATGCCGAGTGAACAAAGTAAGACAAAAAAGGACTACAGACTCCAATTCCACTTAACGACATTCTAGGAAAGGTAAAACTATGGTGGTAGAAAGCAGCTCACTGGTAGCTGATGCTGGAAGGAGAAATTGCAGAGGGGCACAGGTGACATTTGGCAGGGGTTGATGCTTTCAGTGACTTGGTTGTGCTGACAGTTGTACGGATACAGAAATACATCTGAGCTTACGAAATCATATGGTTTAAGTGTATACAGTGTCTCGTATCTCAGTTACACAACAAAACCTTGGTGCTTCATACTCTGATGAGTAGTTAGTGCACTTTGTATCATGTGGTTGGTTCTCACTGTTCACTAGGTAGATAGGTAGAATTAAGTAACAATTGCAAGTGAGGAAAAGGAGGCTTAGAGGAGGTGAACTAACTTATAACTTACACGGGCTCACTCGCTGGCCGAGTGCACACCAGGCCCAGCTGCCGGGGGGCTGTGTGGTCGTTTGGGGTCTCCACACTTTGTCTCGGACTCTGACAGTCTAAGATTACTCATGCTCCTTTTTCATTAACCCTTTTGGAAACTACCTTTTTAAAGTCCCCACGATGTTCCCCCGTAGATGTTATCAGAAACCAGCGTTGCGTGACTGTGAACGGGTCTCCTGCTCTCCCCCAGGGCACAGTCTTTTGCTGAGCGCCTGCGACTGGGCATCGCGGTGATTCACGGAGAGGCACAGGACGCCGAGTCCGACCTGGTGGACGGGCGGCATTCCCCGCCCATGGTCAGGAGTGCCGCCGCCATCCACCCCAGCCTGGAGATCCCCAGTGAGTGTGCCGCCCCCGGGTCGCTTTCCTCTTTGGTTTTTAAGGCTGTGACTTAATTTTTTTTTCTGAATGTGAAGTGCTACTTCTCTTTTTGTCTTTTAAATTGGCAAAAACTGATATACCTTTCGTGGCCTGGCTGTGGCAAGTGCACTTCCGGTGGCCTCTTAGAAGCAGTCTGTCTGGTCATACCGCGACCTATGCACATGCTCAGTTTAGACGCATCTGTGGCACGTCAGGGATTTCACTTGTTCATTCAATAACATGTCCTAGAGTAAGGTAAAGTTTAACACAAGCAGAAAGCTTTTGGTGCACAAGTTATTCACTGTAGTGTTATTTCTAACGCAAAATATTGGAAAAGTCTAAAGGGTTCACCGGAGGGCTGGGCTTGGTGAAGAATGTCGTATCAGCACAGTTCATTATGCAGCCCTTTGAAATAATTAAGACTCTGGAAACAAGAGAAAAATCTGTGGAATGTATGTGAATAAGGCAGAATACAAGAGTGTAGGCCTGTCTTTTGCCCGGGCCAGGAGGGAATATGAAGGCTGAACGTGGTTGTGACTGGGTGGTAGAGTTATGCATGAATTTGTTTTTAAGAAACTTCCCTCAAGCTTTAATAACATCTTTTCAGTTAAAAAAAAAATACTGCTTTTGCTTGAGTCTGCTGGGGAGAAAAGACTTTTCCTCTACCCTCTGTAGCTTCAGTGCTCAGGAGGCTGCAAATAAAACTGACAAAAGACAGATCAAGAAGAGAAAAGATAAGATTTTAAGAGGAGGTTGGAATTCGGGGCTTGTATATAGTCTTCATAGGGGAAGGGGAGCGGAGGAAGGGCGCTGATGGGAGGGCCAGTGGCTCGTAGGGAGGATGGATGGGAGACAGGACGGTGTGTGACAGTGTCTGTGTAGGAGTGGTGCCGACTTCTGGTCTGGGTGATGAGAGCCAGTCTTCCTGCGGTTGTTGCTGGGAGGGGGCTTAGGACAACTGAATTCTTTTGAGCTCTTTTGAGGGAGCTCCGCTTCTAGCAGATAAGGGCCTTCAGGAGTTCAAATGCCTTCAGCTTAAAATGATTTTCATGCCACTGTGGTGTATGCTGGACCCCTTCGGGTTCTCACGTTGCCTAGGAGTTTGCTCATTTATAAACAAAAAACCTCAGAGAAGGAGATACGGTCCTGGGATGGCCATGAAGGAGCGAGACTGCAGCTGGGCCTTGTGGATCCCGGTTAGCTGAGGTGGACGTTGAAGGCATTCAGGCATGGGTTCAGCTGGGGACAGGATGGCAGGGGCAAGGGCTGGGCTTTGTGTGTGGCCGTGGGTGGCCAGGAAGGACGCCACCCTGACCACCGAAGCTCCCTGGAGGGAAGACGTGGGGAACAGGTGGCAGCAGAATGCTCCTGAGGGCAGTGAGTCCCTCACGTTGTTTTTGCTCTTTGGGGTCCTTTGCTCTTTAGGGTCAGTTTATTTCTGCAAAAAAAAGAGGTTGGGATTCTGACGGGGTGCACTGAGTCTCTAGGTCACTCGGGGAGCGTTGCTGTCTTAACAGTACCAAGTCTTCCTGTCCCATCTGGGTGCCTTTTATTTCTTTTTCTTGCCTGACTGCCCTGGCTAGCACATGCGGTGCTCTGTTGAATAGCAGTGGTGAAAGTGGGCATCCTTGTCCTGTCCCTGATCTTAGGGGAAAGGTCTTTCATCCCATATGACGTTAGCAGTGATTTTTCTGTAGTTGCCCTTTATCGGGTGGGGGAAGCTCCCTTCTCTTGCTGGTCTCTTGGGCCTCTGTCATGAGACAGTGACTTGCTAAGGCCTTGGCTGGGCTCTTAACCGAGAAACGTGTGCGTGTTTTGTCCTGGGCAGTGCTCATCCCCAAGGAGAAGCCCCCGATCACAGTGGTCGGTGACGTGGGAGGAAGGACCGCCGTCATTGTGGTACGCAGGCCTCTCTTCCTGTCACTCTGTCGCGCTTGCCGCTGGTGCTTTGCTGACTGGCTTGCCAGTCATGCTGGGGACGGTGCCAGGTAGGTCTCACGGGTGCCTTGTGCTGAATGTCTACTTTGGTCCAAAAACTGAGACTCGCCAGGTGACCCACAGCTTCTGTCCGGCTTGCCTCCAAATCCGAGGCTCCCAGGACCCCCCTGGACTGGAGCATTTGCTAGAGCAGCTCACAGAACTCAGAGAGACACTTAGATTCACCAGGTCATTAAAGGATGTGACACAGATGAGCAGCCAGATGGAGAGAGAGAGGCACAGGGCAGGGCTGGGGAGGGTCCCCGTGGAGTTGGGGCACATCACCCACTCGGTGTGGAATGTTCACCCACCTGGTTCGCTCCCCGAACCCCATGCTACTGGGATGTTATGGGGGCTTCTTCCTGGAGGGCTGATGGATCATTAACCCCATTTCCAGCCCCCTCCCCTCTGTGGAGGAGTTGGGGCTGGCCGTGTGGGTGCTGCAGATTCCAAGCTTCCCTGGTCTTCCTGGCGGCCAGTGCCCATTCAGGAGCCCCCGCCTGGAGTCGCCTCATCAGGACAAGAGGGTCCCCATTGCTCTTCCCGCTAAAACGTGTACAAGGGCTTTAGAAGAGACCAATGTATATATTTTCTATTATCTCTTACTGGGAGTCTGCGAGATTAGAAACCACTGGACTGAGTGTTTTGTTAAAATAATAATAATTATTATTTTTTCCCATTATAAAAATATATGGAAAAAACACATTTCCCATCCACCCAGTGCAGAAAATTTAGAAAATAAGGAAAAGTAGCAAGAAAAGAGGAAAGAACCACCTAGAGTCAGAAGCATCTTCTAACAGGTGCTTTACTGTGCATTAAAAAACTCTAGGGTGAGTATTTCTGGAGCACCTGCCTGGTGGGGTGTAGCTCTAGACGGTAGGGATAGAGGACTCCAGGCCCCAGGGCGCCTGTGCTGCACTGTGGGAGGCCCGGAGGGAAGGCAGCGGGAGCCCGGTGACCTCGCTGTCTGGACACGGCAACGTGGGCAGCAGGTGTCACAGTAGAATTAACCCAGCCTTCCCCCGTGGTCTAGACCCATCTTTACGAAAGTGCTCATGTCTTTTGCTGAATCTGTAATGCCAGGACGACATTATTGATGATGTGGACAGCTTCCTCGCTGCAGCAGAGACCCTGAAGGAAAGGGGTGCGTATAAGATCTTCGTGATGGCGACTCACGGCTTGTTATCCTCCGACGCCCCTCGACTGATCGAGGAATCTGCCATCGATGAGGTAACAGAGCCGGGCTGAGTGTGGGCACAGCTGCCTGGTGCCCGTGCGCGTCCCGACCTGTGGTCACGGGAGCAGGTGGAGAGTGAGCTGCTCTGTAGTTCAGAGTGGTAGTTCTGTTTGCGTGTCACTGCCTGCAGCCTCTGTGTTCTGCCCATGGCAGTGGGTGATAGTTTTAGTGACTCTCGTAAGTGGAGCCCCTGGCCCTGACGGCACTGCCTAATGCTGGGCACATGCCGTCCCTGAGCTCTGGCACAGCCCTGCAGGGAGACTGAGAAATTGTGCACCAGAAAAGTTCAGTGACTTCTTAACGTCAGGCAGCTACGAGCCCAAGCTCGTAGGGTTCAGACCCTAGTTTACCCAATGCTAAAGCCCAGCTCTCTTTCTGGTACAGACGCCCGTGACATGAGGTCGGGAGAGGAGGGCACACAGGGCCACCTTCCTAAACTGCCTGCAGCTCCCAGAGTGGCTGAAGAGAGGCCAGCCAGGTTTCCTCGCCCTCCTTTGTCCACCCCTCATTCCAGGGGCCAGCTAGCTGCGGGGGTTGATTGTGTGAATCACATTTTTATCTTTTAAGAAGCAGAAATGCTGTCTCCTGTATACTCCTGGGTATTGAATCTTAAACTAGTTGGACTCCTCTTACTTTTCTGAGGCCCACACTTTTCCTCTTGAGCAGTCACTCTCCCTGAGCCTGGCCCATGCTCATCATCTCTGATGGGTTCCAGATGCTTTAGCACAGAGAGAAAGCCAGGCTCGCATGGCTTAGCTCGATCCGGCCTCCTTTCTCCGCTGCACGAAACACACATAAAGCGGGAAGACTTCAGGCCCACGGCAGTGCTCACTGGTCTGTCCGCGTGGCGCTAGGCGGGGTTCTCGCGGGTGCTGTGTGTGGGCAGGTTAGCAAGGGTGTGTGGGGGGCTGCTGCAGCCAGGCCCTCGGAACAGAGTGGACTTTGGAGAGGACGCATGAAGCCCCCGACGCGGAGGTCGCACATCCTAGGCCAGCAGGGGGGCTCTGTCACTGATAACCCGTACCGGGGAGTCGGGTCGGTGACTGATGGATAAGCTGGGTTCCATATAGACCTGTAGACAAAGCACAGATGCCCAGTAGATGATAAAGCTATGAACCATGTAAAAGTAACAGCAGGATTGACAGGGTGGGAGGTGGGAGAAGTGGAGAGAGGCTGATTTCCCTGTCTTTCAGAAGAGGAGCCAGTAAGGAGGGCTTGGAGTTGATAAATCAAGATTTGAAGTGTTTTTGTTTTTTTAATTAAAAGTAGTGAAATGAAACGTCCAGAATAGGCCTCTATAAAGTCAGTAGATTGGTGGTTGCCAGGGGGGTTTGAGGAAGTGTGAAATGAGGAGTGGCCGGAGGGGGTACAGCGTTTCTTTGGGGGGAGATACTAATCACAACTCTCAGTATCCTGAACATCATTGAATTGTATGTTTTAAATGGGCAAATTGTATCATATGTGAATTATATCACCAAAAAGCTGTTATTTTTAAAAGTGGTTAGAATACATTTGGAAAATTCATTCCTGAGTGAGGGTGGTTATCTAGTGAGAAAATTGACCCTCCAAGGTGACCAGGTGGTACAGTCCCTCCTGGGGGCACCGTCCCCAAGGCATTGTGCTCAGAGCAGGTGCAGCCCTGCCTGGGTTTGCCCTTCACACTGATGCCGTGTGGATGGGGCAGAAAATTCTGTGTTTGATACCAGTGGGTAGGTGTTTTTCCTTTGGGAACTGTTCTTTTACAGGTCATGAGACTTACATGACCCTTCATGTTCCCACGTTTGCCTTAGTTACCAGGAAGATCAAACAGAAAAGGAGTCACGGGTTTCCCTGGTGGCACAGTGGTTGAGAGTCCGCCTGCCAATGCAGGGGATGTGGGTTCGTGTCCCGGTCTGGGAGGATCCCACGTGCCACGGAGCGGCTGGGCCCGTGAGCCATGGCCGCTGACCCTGCGCGTCCAGAGCCTGTGCTCCGCAACGGGAGAGGCCACAACAGTGAGAGGCCCGCGT